GCCATGTGGATCTCCTCCGGGGCAGGCAGGGATCGAACTCATGCAGAAGTGGCTTAAACTTTTTAGTGCTGTGCTTTAGCCCGCTGTGCCACCAGGGAGGGCCCTCAAACAAACTCTTAAATTAACCTTCAGTTAGTCACTGCTGGACTAGATACTTTTATTACTCAGTGTTTCCAAAACTTCCTAAGTAAGTCAGTAGTTATATAATAATAAATATGAATCAGGCTTTGCACTGGGTATTAGAGATTTACTTAGCAAATAAAAATAGACTTGACTCAAATATAAATACATTTAACCATTTTCACTTATTTTTGTTTATGTTTATGAAGTTGGTAGATTAGGTCTTTAAAAATATAAAGTTTTAGGAAAGACATGGAATCAACACAAATGCCCAAAAGTAGATGACTGGATTAAAAAGACAGGTTACATATACACAATGGTATATTACTCAGCTATCAAAAAAGATAAGCTCATGCCTTTTGCAGCAATATGGATGGAACTGGAAGGGATCATGCTTCGTGAATAAGCCAGAAAGAAAAAGAAAAATACCAGATAGTTTAACTCATAGCAGGAGCATAAAGGACCAGGGGGGTAAACCAGAGACATTTTACAGGGTGGAGTGGGGAATGGGATGAAAATTGGGTGGGGGGAAGTGCACAGGACTATTGTGATGGCACACATGTGAATTGGTGATGGGAAGTCCCTGGGGATTACAACTGAGATGGGAAAAAGGCATAAAATGATGTAAAAATAAACTACTACAATTATTTTAAATTTAGGATAAACAATATCAATTCTAAGATGCATGTGGTCACAGTTCACTGTTTCTACTATCTAATAAGGAATTAATCTTTTTTAAAATTTATGTCACCCTCATCGGAAAATATTGTCATTACCAGATCAAATAAGCACACTCCAAATAGAAAATCTTGGACCTGTTTGCCTTGTAACTAATAGCAATTCAAAATCCAGATCAAACAACATGTAGCCTTTTCACACATCATTGGTCTTTTGGTTTAAATGATGAAAAAAATGTTGTGGGTGTTTCTCAGAACTTATTTAGTGAATTTAGAAAACAGATGGGTTCTCTACTTGTTTAGGCTTTTTCACTAGAGGATTGATGGCGCCTGGCTGGTTTTATTATTCTGTATAATTAAAGTACCATATTTTTTTAAAATTATGTTTAATGAGATAAAGTTGGTTTTACTTTTTCTTTCTGTCTCATAAGCCCAAGGTTCAAGCTTCTACAAATGTGTACTTCATATTTTGCCTACCACCATGTTTTATTGTGTAAATTAGTGTTTTTATTTCAGTTTTTGGTTCACAGTTTTTAGGGTTCAAGTTTCTGGAAAAATATAATTTATCATCCACAGTGTGGTTTTTTTGGGGGGGAAGGGAAACTCTAATGTGAATTAAAGTGGAGTTTAGAAAGTACATAATATTTATCTAATTGTTATAAAAGCTTACTAATTATAATTTATTTATTATTATTATCTATAGTATGAATTCAAATAAAGCATTTCATATTTTTTTAACAGACAAGAAGGAAACATCAGAACAGATGATAATTCCTTGCCAAGTAAGAATTTAGTCATTGCAGTTCATTATTATTTATTTTTGTTCAAATGTCTAGTATCTTTAATTCAATATGATAAAACATTCTGAATGTTTTGCTAAATTAAATGAAACATGTCTGTGTGTGTGTGTATGTGTTTTGGTATATATATGTATATATGCTTAAAATGTTTTTGGCCTTTATTTGTATTTGTAATAGCTATTATAGAAGGAGGTATTTAATTTGTTGTTCTTCATTATAAAACCCCCCACAAAACTTTAGCTAGAAAAAGAAAATATAGTCAAAAAAATGAAAGTGGACAACCCATTTTTTAGAAGCTACAACTTTAAAAAAGTTATCTCAATATATTAAACTGAAATTTGCCTGCACTGCTAAAATTTTACCCATTGATTCTAGTTATTTTCTTAATAAACACTTAAAAGAAATTTAACTTTTGCATAAGATCATGGATTCTTCAGCCAAAGTTTGTATGTTTGAATGTTAACTCTACTACTTACTTCATGATTTTGGACAACTAATTTAATATCTGATGTTGCTTTATTTTTCTATACAGTTTTTATATAGTAAAATAGAGACAATTGTAAATTATATTATCTAATTCAAAGGGTTGTGAGAATAACTCAATATATAAAAACTATTTCAAACAATTTGGCAAGTTAGCCACTATTTAAGTGTTAGCCATTGTAGCTTTTTAATTTACTGTTGCCACTACTTTTCTATATGAAAGCTCTTTAAGTATTTGAAAATAGTGATTCTATTTCATTAGTCTCTTTTCCTCCAAAACTATCCTAAATTACATCATTTCCAATTTTGACATAGTTTCCATATAGTTTGATCCTCCTGATCACTCTATTCAGTATGTTCTCAAGGGTATACATATTCTTCCTCAAATAGGATTCCTGGAATAAAATGAGATTTTAAAAAATCTAGCAAAAATATCATAAACAAAAGAAACCAAGGTAGAGGAAATTATAAAGATATTTCAAAGAAAAAACTGACACTATATTTTCAATTCCAACTGTTTAGTTATAAAATAGTACAAAGGTGAGGGCTAACTATCTTGGTTGACGGGTTCTCACTCATGCACTTATAACTGCAAAGCACAACTCAGGCACAATAACATGGCTAATTAAAAATGGTAATTGGAAGAGTTTTGAAGGCCACAAAAAGTCAACATTCCAGCTCTAGATTTTGTCCACAGTCTCTAGTAATCAAAAACAAAGGTTGCTTATACAAGATGGCATTGTCTCTGAAGAGAACCTGCAGCTGGTGGCATACCAAAATGCTCTGAGCCAGACAGAGGTCATCAATGCCAGTTATAGGACAGCAGTGCCAGCACTGGTCAGCAGGCAGCAGTGCCAGCGGCACCAATGTTGTAGCTGATAGAGATACTGGGCACAAGACAATGGCAAACAGCTTTTTTAAAAACACTGGGCATGAATCTTTGGTGCCAGTCTTCAGATGTAAGGCAGGGTCAGAGATAAATTCTGCAAAGCCTAGAAGTTTCCAAGGGTATATGAACGTCTTGACGTCTGTGGAGGTCTCAAAGTTCTTGGAAGTCTACAAAGTCTCAAAGCATCTGGAAGGTCTACCAAGAAAAAATTCCCAGATGAATCGCTAGACAAATTATCTGCAAACCAGACAAATCTCCTTAATAAATCTGTCTGAAGCTATCTAATGAATAGGAAGAAGCAAGCTGCAGTTCTGGCTCATATCCCAATCAGCCCCTTGCCTTTCAAACTTGATTGGTCTCTTTACAATTCCAATTGTTCGATTGCTGATAGTTGAGCTCAAATTTAATTGGTCCATTTGCAAATATAAAAGGTCTCAAAACTCCTGAATGGCACAGGTCAGAAATTGAGCCTTATTAGTCCATTGGGAGATAGAACCTGAATGATCCATCTTCAATTCTGACATGATGTTCAAAGGTGAAACTACAGCTGGTGACTCCAGACCCAAACTACATTGAGGTTGGGTGACCTTATGTTAGTGGTGTGCCCTCCAGCAGAGCTTGAGCACAAATCTGAGTGACTGAAGCAAAGGCCAATAATTTGAACCAATTCAGGCTAGCCTAGTGCACCAAAGGTCTCTTTCCCCATGGTTTGCACAGGGGTAGGGCTGACATGCAAGGTTGGTCAGCAGGCTTATCACAGTATGGAGCTCTCTCTCCATGCTTTTTGCTGTGTGGAACTGGGAAAACACCACCACTGTTGTTGGAGACTGCCAGGCTCTATTGGGACTGCCACAGGCAGCATATTGAACCCAAAGGCCCAGTTCCACAGCTCTCTCTATCCATGGCTTGAACCATAACTGGCCTTCAAGTCCAGCCACTGAAGCACACCTCAGCTAATCCAGTCATCCCGTGTGGCAGCAGAAGCCATGGCACTACTGTTTTAGTTATATTATTTGAAGTAATTACTTGTGAATTTTTATTACCATTTAAGTAACTACCTGTAAAAATGTATTTAATCTAGAAAATAAAATTACAAATGGCATTTTAAATGTAATTCAATTTTGAATGGAAAAATAAGCTTTTATTTTATCTAATTCCTATGCAAACCAAACTACTTCTTCAGAGGAAATAAGCTATATTTTGTGTTACAACTTAGCTTAATCAGTATGTCTTAAATGATATTTTTCTGTATTGATGAAAATCTGTTTATGCACTCTAAATTGTGAACTTCCCTTTCTTATTTAAGTCAATGAAATGAGCAGAAATTTACGGAATCAACAATACCTTGCTTTGACATTTTCCGAAACATCTCAGCCAGGTAGAAAGAAGAGATCAAGACATTCAGAAACACAAATTACAGTTCCTGTAAGTATTGTAAAGGTTATTTTTAAACTAAATCTAAGGTGATATGTTTTTATATAAAAATATATAACATCTACAAAATTTAAAATTTTCTACCCATAAGAAGAGGTATGTTTTGACCTATAATTCTTTGTATAGAAGATTGCTCCAACATTTTTTATATTAAATTTATTCCTGACTCACCAATTCAAAGTATAGTTGATAAGCAAAGAAAGCTAAATACTCTAATATTTTAAGTGGTAAAATCTCTCAGGTTTCTATACAGCAAAATCATTTAAAAATTGAATCATAGAGCATGAGTCAATCTTGAAGATTTCAGAGTTTCTCCATTTTTAAGGAATCAGGTTCTCAGGGTATTGGATACAGGGACATTCAGGTTTTCTACTGCTTTTGCAAAGCGGAGTTATAAATTACCAAAAATTAAAAACAAATAGTCCATAGTGATAACACATGGTACTATCAAAGTGCATGTTAAAATAATTTCTCAGAAAGAATTACAGTCCATGCATGTATTCAAGGGTAATTCATTGTGTGCAGAATGACCCAAGATTCTGGTTTCTCTTCATGTCCCCCCATAACTCCATATGATAATTGTATTGACTAGTGACATGCTTACTGTATATTTGAAGGAATACAATTTAAAAAGGTAAAACCAATCTTGTTTCCATGATAACAGCTAGTTTGACAAATGCTTTCCTGAGAGTTTTAAAAAACACACTATTACTAGACAGATTAATGTGAATCAAATACTTATACTTGTTTCATTTCATATTCCTGTTCTTTTCCTTTCTTTTTTCTTTTGCTGTACTTCTCAGCAGGGGTCTCAGACTCCCAGTCTTATGAGAGATCAGGCTAGATCAGAACATTATACTTCACAAGAATTGTCTTGAAATGCCTCCAGGGAATTATCTTATTTCTGATTAAACCTGGGGAGTGAAGAGTGCACAAATGTTTCAAAAGCCCTCTCCTATATAGGGGTCCAAAAGCAACTCATGCTTTTATAAGGACAGGCATTCCAATATTATGGTTCATTGTGAGCTTGATCTCTCAAAGCAGTATGAATCATTGAGGAAATCCTAAACTTTCTCCAAAAGTCATTGTTTCCAAAGTGGGGTTGCCCTCACACACAGAAAAACACACAGATAATTGAAAAAATAAAAGTGTTCCAAGTAGATGGTTAATAAATATGTAGACTATTTTCATAGTTCAATATAAAAATATATAGTTCATTCAAAAATATTCACCGTTATTCTAACAATCTTTCAGAGACATAATAAAAGATGTTTAAAGGAAGTTCAGAAGCCAGCTCATGTATGGATAAGGCATTCTTTAAGAAAAGCATTCCAAAGATCATCTTTTTACTTAATTATCAGGAGAGAGGTTCCATTTAGACATCCTTATGCTCCCAAAGTTCGTTCCAAGAAAACAGAATCTAAAAATTCTAAATATAATGAAAAAACAACTTTGAAGAAAGATTCTGAGAAAAATACAAGCCCACATGAAACAACTCCAGAATCCAAGAAAGTATTAAATGGTGAGAAAATTAAAAAAGGAAATCAAACATCTAAAACTCCATCAAATTCACTGCATGACAGTGAGAAACCAAAGTACAAATATGAAGCAATTTCAATATCCAAATATTTGAAGACAATCTCAATGAAGAATCCAGAAAAGGAGAATGATTCAAGAAAGCTCAGTGAAACAGATAATGAATCCACATGTACAGGGGATACGAAGAGTTCAAAGAACAATTCTGGTAACAAATCAGATATTTGCTTGAAAAATTGTCCAAGTATGGAGTTAGAAGAGTCTGGTGCTAGATCCACGGATTTTAATACATGGTTAAACAATTTCTCACAGAATAATTCAAAGAAACCTTCAAAGAAGGAGTCAAAGAAAGATTCAAAGAAGATTTCTGATGCAGAAACTGTAGATTCGAAAGATGCAAAAACAAAGAGAGATAGCAATAAGAAGGATGTAAGGAAGGACCCAGAGTCTACTGATGTTGAATCTGTAGACTCAAAGGATGAAAAGAAAGATTCAAAAAAGACTAAGAAAGATGCAAAGAAAGGAGACAAGAAAAAGAAGGATGCAGGTTCTACTGATACTGAATCTATAGACTCAAAAGAAACCAAGAGAGATTCAAAGAAGGCCAAGAAAGATTCAACTAAAGGTGACAAGAGAAAGGATGCAAGGAAAGATGTACTGTCTACTGATACTGATTCTGAATCTGAATGGATTTTAAAAATGGATATAAAAGATGAAAGGAAGGATAAGAAAAATTCAAAGAAAGATGACCAAAAGAAGTATGAACTAATGGCTCAATATTCTACTGAATCTGAATCTGACCTGGAATTTAAAATTGATAAGAATTCAAAGATTAGGAAAAATATCAAGAACTATGATGCAAAGAAGAATAAAGAGTCCTCTGATGGATCTGATGAGCACTCCTATAAAGACTCAAAGAAGTCTGAAATGGCTGAAAGTGTTGATGCTGATACAGAAGAGTCAGTGTATATGCTTAAAAAGATGGGAATTGATGAGTCATATGCCTCATCTACAGATTCAAAGAATGAAGTTCTGGAATCAAAGAGAAAATACAGATTATCCAGGAAGACTAAGTTCAGAGAAAAAGAAAAAGAAAAAAAGCGTACAGGTAGAATTCCTCCATCAAGAGAAAGACCTCCACTACCTCCCTGTGAGCCTTTCCTATCACCACCTAAGGTCAAACGTCTCTGCTGGTGCAAGGTGCCTCCTCCACCTCCAAAACCAAGATATGCTCCTTTGGTATGTTTAATTCTGCCTTATTTTTAAAGAAAACTTGTTTAGCATTAAAGATAGTTTAAAGGTTTCAAATTATATTATTTTTCTAAAGAATGGTTCTCTTTTACTTGAATATTGCTATGTTACTGCTCCATCTGTCTCTTCTAACCTGTCCTCCTTTACTTCTTATACTGCCTCCTCAGAGAGTTTCTATTTCCTTTTCTATTCTAGCGGGATATTTCCCTTTACTTTTCATTCCAGATTTTTTCAATCTTTGAATCATAGTAAATGTTATATATTTGTTCAGTTGCATTTAATCTAGCTTTGATATTGTTGAATCTGGAAATCTGAAGTTCAAAATTCTAATGTAGCAAATCCCCACAATTTTCATAGAGTAAATATATAGTTTCTATTAAAGGACAAGCTATTGTGTACCTATTAGAAAAAAAGAATTTGCTCCTCATAATAAAGGAAACAACAAAAATAGCACCTGGAATTCAAGTTCATTTTTCTCCTACAAAACACAAAATCTGTATTTGAGAGCCAAAAATGATAGCCATTTTGTTTAAGGATCTGTCTTAGTCGGTGAGTCAGTGTTTAGGCATTCAGTAAGGCAACAAGATTTTAAAAGAATGAAAATGAATTTTGATCTATGGTGGAAAATTATGGGTACTTTGTTCGTGCACATTGATTTGGGAAAACATCTAAAAAAGTGGGAAATTATACTTTTAAATTATATGAAGTCATATGAAGTAGAGCCCTTCTTGGTGGCTCAATGGATTGAATCGCTACACTGGAAGCTATTAGCAGCTGCTTCCACAGAGTTTGACCCCCAGCCAGGGAGGTGTCCAACATGGTACCTCTCCTAAACTGCCCCCTTTTCCCCATAGCAGTGTATTTCAGGAAAACTCCCTATGTTCTGCTCCCCACTCTGTCTCTGCTGAATCCTCTCATGCCCCCCACAACTCTGTCCTGTACCCCACTTCTGTATACATAAATAAATATTAAAAAAGAATAAATTATATGAAGTATTGTGAAAAAATGGAACCTAATTTTAAAAAATGAGTTTTAAAATATTTTGGCAGATAATTTACAAAGTAAATGAGAAAAACTGATTCTCAAAGAACTGGATTCTTTACACAAAAGAAATGTTTTTTAAAAAAAATAACAAAATGTGACAAAACAAATTGGGGATCAAGGAATAATTTTAATTGTAAAAAACAACTTTCACAGTATCTCCAAAGATGGCTTGAATATTTTCATACATTATCTCTTTAATATACACTTCCACATGCACAGTTATCATTCAATTTGGCCATATTCACTGGTCTCTTCCCTCTCCTGATATTATTCTACAAATACAACTTTAATTTTCTTTTTTCTTAATTCAACTAACATTAGTTTATAACATTGTATATAATTCTCTATAACTCACAGTAACAGGAACACAACCCTTGAGATGCATGTTGCTAAACCATATCCATCAATGAGCACACTTAACTGCTCCACTGTTACACATTGGACACAGTCCATAATTTGATCTCAATCATTCCCCTTCCACTCTTCTAATCTCAAATCCTACAATCTGATTTGTTTCATCAGATACTTTGTTTTTTTCTATACTCCACACATATATGAAAATATCTGGTATTTTTTTTTCTCCTGACTTATGTTGCTTAGTATAATTCCTTCTGACTCCATCCAGGCTGTCAAAAATGGAGCACATTATTTTTTTCTAGCAAGGATGCATTATCCTATTTCTGTATATATACCACCACATTTCTTAATCCACTTATATGTCCTTGGGCATTTAGATTGTTATCATAACTTGGGTATTGTAAATATTGCTGCAATGAACATGGCAGTGCATATATCCTTTAAAATCAGTGATTTTGCATATAATAACAAGCAGCAAAAATATGATAAAGTATCATATTTATCTATTTTTAATATTTTGAGAAACTTCCATACTGAATTTCATAGTACTTGGGCCAGTCTACACTCCCACCATCAGTGTAAAAAGGTTCCTTTTCCTCCACACCTTGCCTACATTTGTTTCTGATCTTTTTGACATGGGCCATTCTCATATGTGAGAAGGTAAATAATTGTGGTTTTTATTTGCATTTAACTGATGATAAGTGATGAAGAACATTTTTTAAAGGTTCCAATTTTCTACCTGTATGTCTTCTTTGGAGAAGGGCCTATTTATTTCTGTGTATTTTGTGATTGAATTTTGTGTTGTTGTTGAGCTATGTGCTTTGTTGAACCTGGATATTAACCTCTTGCTTGGTATATGGTGTAGAAATATCAAAACTGGGCCAGGAAGAGAGAACAAGTCTATGATAGTGGCACATGGGTGAACTGGTGGTGGGAAATCCATGGGGATTACAATCAAGATGAAAAAAATATACAAAATGAAGGATGATGTAAAAAAATACATTAAAAAAGCTATCTGCCATTTTAGTAAGATGGCTTTTCATTTTAATGGTTTATATATATATACATATATATTTGCTGTGAAGTTTTTTATTTAATGTCTCATTTTGCTTATTCTCTTTTGCCTTATTGTTTTGTTCCTAAAGACTAATTGATACCAATGTTGTAGAGTATTTTGCCTGTTTTTCTTTATATATTTCTTATTTTCAGTTTTATATCCATAACTTTATTGACTTTATCTAGCTCATTTTGTATATGGTGTGAGATAGTGATCAAAATTCAATCTTTACAAGTGACTGTACAATTTTTCCAACACCATTTATTGAAGAGACTTTCTTGAATATAACCTATTTGCTCCTTTAATATATATATATATATATATATATATATATATATATATATATATGTATATATACATACACACTCAAGTTTATTTCTGAGCTCTCAATTCCATTCCATTGGTCTATGTATCTATTTTTATTCTAGTACCATATTGTTTTGATTACTATAACTTTGTACGAATCTTCCCTCTTTTCAGAATAGCTTTAATAATCAAGGTTTTTAGTGGGTCCATATACATTTTAGTATTTTTTTTTCTATTTACTCAAAGAATTATTTTGAAACGTTGATGGTGATTGCATTAGAATAGTGTAATGCAGGCCCCCCTGGTGGCACATCAGGTTAAAACACAGCACTGGGAAGCTAAAGCCACTTCACCATGAGTTCAGTCCCCACCTGCCCCAGAGGTGATCCACATGGTTGCGGCATACCTCTCATGACCCACCCACTACTCCCCTCAGGAATGTACTTCATCTATCTGCCTGTTCTGCTCCTCACTCTGTCTTTGGTGAATCCTTTCACTGCCCCTGCACCTCTGGCCTGTACCCCAGTTCTGTATGCACAAATAAATAAATCTTTAAAAAAAATAGTGTAATGCTTTGGGTAAGATGAGAATTTTAATAATATTAAATCTTCCATTCATGATCAAGAAGTAATTGCCTGTTTTTGTCCACTTATTTATATTTTTAGCTATGTTTTGTACTTTTCATTGGGTAGATCTCCTACCTCATGCTAAGTATATCCAAGGTATTTAATTCTATTTTTAATGTTAATATAAATGACATTTTCTTGATTTATTTTTCTGCTAGCTCCTTGCTTGCATATAACTATAGGAATGTAACCAATTTTTATAAATTGATTTTATAGCTTACTTATTGATTTGCTTTTCCTAATAGTTTTTTTTTTTTAGTTGAGCCATTGGAGTTTTCTGTGTATATTACATCATTAGAGAATAGTAATAGTTTTCATTTACTTTTTTTTTTTTTACCAATTTGGATTCATTTTAAATCTTTCTCATGCCTAATTTTTCTATCTAGGACTTCCAGCAATATGTTGAATAGTAGTTATGAGAGCGAATGCCTTTGTCTTATAATGATTGTAGAGGAAAACATTTCAGTTTGTTGCTATCGACTATGATGGTAGCTGTGATATTGTCATATATGGCTTTTAAGATGGTGAGGTGAATTACATCTATCTCCATTTTCATGAGAATATCTAATAGAATACCATGATTTTTATTTTTATGTTACTGATATAGTGAATTGCATTAATAGATTTTCAGATGTTAATCCATCCTTATTTCCCTGGAGTAAATATCACTTTGTCATGATGATCATTTTAATGCATTATTGAATTTGTTTTGCTAAAAATTTGCTAGAGATTTTTGCATTTATGTTAACTAAAGACATTGTAGTATTCTGTCACATCTTTGCTTTCATACCAGAATAATACTGACCTAATAAAACGTGTCTCTAAGCTTTCTCTTTTACTCATTTTTGGGAAAAGTTTGAGGTTGATATGTATTAGTTCAATTTGAAAGTTGGTGGAATTAATGAGGGAAACAATTTGAGTCTAGAGATTTTTTGGGGGGAGATTGATTACTACTTCAAATTCATTGATTACAATCAGACTTTCAGATTTTCTATTTCTTCTTGATTCAAACTTGGATGGCTGTACATTTTTTTTCTGACATGATTTTTTTAATATAATAGTTTATTTTTACATCACTTTGTACATTTCTTTTTTCATCTCAATTGTAATCCTCATGGGTTTCTCATCACGAAGTCACCCATGTGCCATCACCATAGTCCAGTGCATTTCCCTCCCCCCCCACCGTTTTGGATCCCATTCCCCACTCCACTCCACAAAATGTCACTGGTATATAGCTGTTCATTATTCTTATTATTTTCTTTCCTGGTCCATTATACTTCTGCTATGAGCTAAACCATCCGATATTTTTCTTTTTCTTTCTGGCTTATCTCACTAAGCATGACCTTTTCCAACTCCAGGATGGCTGTACATTTTTAAAAGATTAATTTATTTATGCATGCAAGAACTGGGGTAAAGGCCAGAGGTGCCAGGGTTGAAAGGATTCACCAGAGGCAGAGTGGGGAGCAGAATAGGTAGGTCTACTGAAATACACTGCTGACGGGAGCAGTGAGTGTGTCAGGAGTGGTCTGCCATGTCATGTGGGTCACCTCCCTCACCAGGGATCAAACTCATAATGCAGTGGCTGTGTATAGCTTCTT